CTCCTCCGTTCCTCCCGTCTTCCTCGGCCGGTGCCGTCTGTCGGAGCTCGGAGCGCGACGATGGACTAGAAACTGCAGCGGCGGCACGTCGCGCAACCAGGACGTTCCACGCAAGTTCCAGCTGACGTCCTGACAGGGCGGGCGCGCGAGGAGGGGCATTCCATCCGAGGCGAGAAAGGGAAGGAAGCGCCCTGTGTATATTCTTCGGACCGAGATGCTCCACCGAATCGGCGTTGCTCCGATCCGATTATCAAAAAATTCGCCGATTTCCCGAAACAGATCTCGACGATCACTTTATAACGAATGTCTATTCTTCTCGCTTGCTCGATGTAGGTGTCACGAGACAGTTCCTTGGCGCGTGTCAAGATTCGGTTCGCGGGTGTTCCCCGACGTTCTCCATGCGATCGCAGCGAGAGAGAGAGAGAGAGATTAATCGCGGAGTTCTCGAGACGATGGAGCTCTCGCAACACGCTTGACTCAGAGATTCTCGTTCCAATTTCTTCCCTTACTCTAATCGCGATAAGTGCTTCCCACCACCCTCTACACGATTCCCACCCTCTCCCTTTCCCTTCGCGTACCCGTTTCTCTTTCCACCTTGCCCTCGAACGGATAACTCGCGAGGGCGCCGATTAACTGATCGACGCGTACGAGTCTCCGCTCGCGGAGAGAGATTCCGTACGCATCGCAGAATCGCTCGCTCGCTCGCGTGTTTCGAGCAGAACTGCGCACCACCTGTCAACTACTGGCGGTCGCTCGAGCGCTGGTTCGCGAGTTGACCCACCTCCGCTTACGAGAGCCGCCGCCGCCAGTCGATCGAAACCGCCGCTGTACCGCCAAGGCTCAGTCACCAGGTGGATGACGAGGACGTTGAGCTACCGTCATATCGACGCACGTGTCCTATGCACGCGAAACAGTGTACGAAGAATTGACGACGTTACAGCACCGTTAGTTCCGTCTCTCCGATATCAAACTGATGATTGCAGGAAAGAAAGGAGAAAGGTCGATAGTCGTCGTTGTCGTCGTTGTCGTCGTCAACGTCGTCGTCGACGGTTGTCCGCTCGGTGCTGCCTCGGTGGCCGTCGGCGGGCGCGTCGGCGACGGTGCGCACGGTGAGAACGTATGTATGACGTGAGTTAGGGTAGGGTAGGGATAGGGTAGGGAGAACGGTTTCACCGCGCCGATCGGAACAGAGAGGGAACGACCGCGAAGGGGAAGATGAAAGAGAGAGAGAGAGAGAGAAACGCGGCGGCTCGGTTGACGAGATAGACCCGACAGCACCCGGCCAACTGCACATCGCTGAATGAACCCGCCGTGACCCCGACCCTCCTCCCGAATCACGCAACCACCCTGTCGACCCCCTGTTCGCCTTCTCCTTCTCACCGACTGACGCGATCTTGGTGTTATTTTATAAACGCCCTGCGCGAACGTCCTACCCTCCGCGACCTGCTCATCCCTTCGACCGCGCTGACGTCTCTCGGGATGCAGCGATACGTTGCGCGCCGACCCCTCTACCCCGGGGAAGTATCGTCTTGAGAAAGATTCTCGTCTAAAATTTCATTTTTCATCAATGACGCTTCAAATTCCTCTCGGTTTAACTCGTTTCTCTTTTCGGACGAGATTTCACGATTTGTAATTGCAAGAAACTATTTAGAGCTATTATACTCACACAAGTTATTTCTCTTCTTCGGACATATAATTTTTCTGTATAATTGAAATAGAATTTTCTCCTTATTATATCACCGATAAAAATTGTCCATGTAATAACAAAAGGAATTATCGCTCTCTTTTATCTCGTTAGAATATCAAAGACAATTATCTAGTTTCTATAAAGATGACTTGAAAGAAAATAAAAAAGAAGCAAAAAATAGACCAGAATATTGATTTTTGGATATAATGGATTTTATCAAAAATAGATTGTAGTCGATAATCTTTCATTTAGGAAATGGCACAATAATTGGATGCTCAATTAGATTGTAATGACCCCGCGTGATGATAATAATAGACTTATTATCCTATATTTCTTCTTTGTGAAAGAAATATGTTTATGAGTGCACTCATGCAATCTTATTGAAATACTATTCATGCGATGTCTATTCTACGTGCGTCAGATCTCACCCTCCCCTCCTATCGTTAGCTATAATCATTCTCTATATCTATTACTTGTCGGTGCCAATAGCTGTTAGCCACACTTAAAGGGTTTGACCATCGTTAATGAAATTTGCTGAATGGATCTTCGAACAACCTCATCAAGCTCGAATAGAACGATAAGTTGACTTTTATTCTCATTTCTTCTTCCTAAGATAATATTAATGTTAGAAAGTTGAGATATAAAACGCGCATGGTTATCATTTGACATTAATTTAATCACAATTTACAATTACAAAAAATTACGTTAATGCGTAACGTAATCTTTAATTGAGTGATATAAATATTTTTTGCAATAATTACGACGATTATAATAATTGTTAAAAACATAAAAATATATACATTCTAACTAAGCTTTATTTTATTTAAATATATACATATATCTCATTCTGCTTAAATAGCAATTATTCTATTTAGAGATAGGAAACGAGATAATATCGTGATAATAGTTGTTTAGTGTATCATAATAACCTCTCCTCTCGTCAAAAACTTTTCTTTGGGGCGATAAAAATAATTTGCAACTAATGGGCGACAAAATTCGATCCATTCCCATAAATCGATGAGCCATAAGAATTTTACCTCCCATTTGATACAGGAGAGGATACAAAAGAACATGCACCGGTACCGATATCGGCACCGTGTTTAACCATCACGCGCATGCTGGATTCGTTGTGACGTCAGGGGGCGAAAAATCAATCCACCCTGCCGCCGCACTGTAGCGCGCGGCGAGGCTGGGGGTTGTGTGTTATGTCCCACCATTCCTCGTCGTCGCTGTTAATTGTTACAGCAGTCACACATGCTCGCGCGAATGTAATTGCGTGACAATAAAAGATCTTTATGAGGTTTCGACAATTTAACGGAGATGCGTAAGCGCGTTGTGCGTTCGAGCTCGCAACTCATCCGATCGATTACCAGGAATCTCATGTTTATCGCTACGATGTGAACGAGATTAACTACAATTGTGGTTGCAAATGTCGCGTGCATCATCCTTGAGGCACTTTAAATCACGCTTGAATAAAAAGCGAATCATACCGAATGACCATCAAGCTATCAAGGCGAATCAACGGTCGCATCTCGTAGAAATTTATCATATCTTTAGTCACCGCAGCGAAACCAATTGCCGCATTATTGCATTTTGAAGCAATGTTTGTTTGAGATATCTAAGATAGTTTAGTTACAAGCTTCTCTCTCTTAAAGATGTTTCATATAAATTAATTTTTTCTTTTTTTGCTGTCATATCAGTCTTATTGTTAGTTACATACATATTTTTTCTGATATAAAATTAAATATTATGTAAAATATATAATTTTATATCAGAAAAAAACTGATTACTAATACTAGTAATTATATATTTTACATATTTTTATTATTTTTCATGCACACAATACTGTTGCTTTAGTTCACGAATATTTTTTAATTATGAGTTGTGATTTAAAGGGGCACACCTACCTAGGAGAGTTAAAAAACATGCTTTCTGGGGAATTCTTTTTAGAAAAATTAATGCACTTTTATTAAAAAAACATTAGTATACTGTTAAGGATACATATTGAATGTAATTGAGTTTTTCTTTTGTTGAAAAATATTAAAAAATAAATGAGATATAGCCGATGCTCGAGACGTCCTTGTTTTTGAGGCATTCTGCGGTGGCCATCGTAGCTCGGAGCAGGATTATATGAAATCAAAAATTCGAAAAAATTTAGATAATATATTAAATTATCTAGGATCCATCGGGCCGGATTTTTGAAAAATTATTTTTTAACATAATGGCAGCGTGGCAAAGTTGAATATCTTTTGGGTAAAAAAATATTAATTTTTCGCGTGTAAAAAAAAAATCTAGATAAAAAAAAGAAAAGCCCTCGATAGCACCTAGATTTTTAATTTTAGAATAAGCCTGAAAAATTTCAAGTAAATCGATTCATTACTTTTTGAATTATGTTGGTCACCGACTTTGAAAACGTGATTTTGAAAAAAACGCGTTTAAAGTTTTAGGCTGAAAATGATCGTTCTACTTTACAGCTCAAAGCTAACTCCGTCTATCTAACCTGCTTCTAATCCTATCGTTTTTATCTAACCTATCGCTAATCTATCTCTCTAAAAATCTCTCAAAGGAGATTATAGATCCGTGCGATAGCTGCCGCGCGACAGGTCTCATACCTGCTTCGAGTGCTACTTCGAGAAACTTTATACCTCTATAACTTTGTCAATTTTGCTGTGATTAAATTGAAATTTTCTGAGAATACTTTTAAGATATTGCACTACAAGATAATGTCAAAATCCAAAAATCGATTTTTTAGAAATTTCTAGGTAGGTTGCTCTCTTTTAAGTCACTCGGTGTATCATCCATTATTTTTAATTAATATAACAAATAGATAAAAGGCGAATTTATACCATATAGCTAAAAAAAACTAATGATAAGTCTTCTCTTTCTCTATTTATTTTTCACACATGATTATAAAAATTACACGATATCTCTCTAATATATATTTCAAATTTTTTTTTTTAATTTTGCCAGAAATTTTGCTAAAGTCACAGAATTTAGATTATTTTCGAAACAAATAAGAATCTTATCTATTCGTATGTTTATTGCGTGTTCTCCGAACTGGGATATAGACGATTACTGCGATAGTCGTGGCGTGAATAAGGCATGTAATTGCACATTGTATTCGCGTACGATTAATTAATTGGTTAACCGATTAATTAACTGGCTCGATCCATCTATTAACGACACATACGTAGTATATATGTAATTACTTATGTAACAACGGAGACGGGGGATCTTGCAACCGGGAGACTAATACGTGAACTTACTCGAATACGCGTATAATGGCGATTGCGTGTCTTACTTGTGCACGTACCAATAAGCAGCGACAAAAACACGTTTGCAATCGAGGCAATCAAATGCAACGTGCGTCCGCCCACGTAACAGTAACTTCACTCCCGAAACTCTGCCTGACCGAACACGTGAAATACCCTCGAGTGACTGTTAGTTACAACTGAAATCGCGACACTGAAAACAGCGTCTTATACGCAGTGCATTAATACGTTGACTTCGACTGCGGAAGACAAACACGTAGCTCATTGATAAGTAATTCAAAGCCGTGTGGCGCTCGTCGCGCATTATGTGTATGTACATTGTGATACTTGGCGATAACGGCGCATTCTATTTCTATTATAACAAAAGTTATATTGCAAAGCTTACCTTGAGGCGCCAATAAAAGTAAAATTTGGAAGATCGCTCTGGGAAGCGTTATTTTTTATCTTTATAAGAATTAATTAATATGATATCGTCTACATTTAATAAAACAATTAATAAAATTGGCTCTTAATGTAAATATTTTTCTACAAATATTACAATATTTTTGTTATATATATATTTGCATTCATACACATTTTATGCATATTTTATATTCTTTGCATAAATATATGTCAACGATTAATGAGTATCGCAATTTTTATAAAAAAAAATGTTAGAGTTGTTCTTTTCTTTGTTACGCACAGTAAGCACTTAATAACGCTCCGTTATTAGTAGCAAATATATGCGTACATATGTGATAACGCAGATCGATCGAAGACTTGGTCGTTTATATAACGCTATGTAAACAACGTGCGGATATTTATACGTGCAAGCTAAACGATTTTCCGATTTGAACGACAACGATTTATGGCTAGATGGCTCATTGGTATTCGATAACGGTGCGCGCGCTATTAACGCGTGTAATTAACAAAAAGGAACGGCGATAAACGCGCTGCGTAGTTCGGTAAATTGACTTGTTTATCTTCCGTTCTCGGATGCCCCTGTACAAAATGAAATTTGAATTACGATCTCTCATTTCGCGAAAACAGCTTCTTCACGCGATTGCATGGTGTGCGTGCGTGAGTGCGTGTATGTATGCGTTTTATTTATATGCGAGGCGATCTTTATTGCGTCGTCTAAAGATTCTTCAAGTATGCGGAACACATGCGACGTTAATCGAAACTTGGGATACTCGCGGAATTGACGGAATACTGACAGCTGTCTTTACGCGCCGGTATCTGCTCCGTTACAAATAATTATGATATGATAATGCAACAGAATAACGGGATAGAATAAAGAAAAAATGACTTTTGCGAGATCGCTTCGAGAATAATATCTGATAACATTTTGATGCGCACTTATTTTGAATTCGCAACGATGTATAAAGATAAGAAGAGATAAACAAGCAAATAGGATCAAAATAGGCGCCAAGAGATTAAACAAAAGACAATATCAACAATAGCAAAGACGATACGAGTACGTAAATGCATCTCGCATTCCTTGACTGTTTCTATTGTTCCCCGAACTGGCCCCGAATGTTTACGTTTCTTAAACGCGCGCGAGCGGAATGAAAAAAACTGCTATTCATCGAGGATTAGTAGAAAAAATTGAACGTGGTCAGACGCGCTTCGTGATTTCAACGCTCTTCAACAGTACGAGTGACAAATAAATCTCGTCTCTGACGCCGTATTCGGCATGAGGAATCAAAGTAGATTCAACAGAGACATTATTCGGTGCATCATTAGCTTATTAAGTTAGTTAAGCGAGGACGAAAGAAGACAACGTTGTGCATCGCGACAGTCATGTCATAAGCTGCCTTAAGCGTCGTTTTAGAGCCACGATATTTTATTTTGTGCTTTGTACTGCGATTCCTTTCTACCTCATGTTCAGCTTATAACAATTTTTAAAGTTTTCTAATATATTATTTTATAATACAGAAGAGTTTGATGATTTTTTGTTAACGCTTTTCTAACACTTAATAGCCGCTTTCTTTACGTTCCAATGTTTCAATTTACGTCTTCCAGAAATTTTGTTAACGCTTCCGTCTTGTTAACGCTCGTTTTACATTTTATTTTCATTAGCGTAGCGTTTGAAATTTACATTTTTATCTAATACTGAACTAAAGAAACATTTGTAAGAGTCATTTTGAAGAATCTTTATCTTTATAACACATACAGAAATATCGTTTTTTTAAATTTTCCGTGTGGAATAAGCCTCACTATAGGACAAAGTCCATAAGCGCGACATCATAAGTAAATCCAGAAAATTAATTTAAAAAACTTGGTTATCAGGAAGCAATATTTCAAACACGATGTCAATATTATTTTTTAACTTTACATCTAATGAGAAGAATTAATAAATTCTTATCACACAAACAACTAGTGTATTGAATTTCTCATAAAATGTGAACCAAGTTTGCTTATTAAAATAAATTTGTAGCTTAATGAGAGATAGATTTAAATAAATATATTTTTTTGTATAATGTGAAATCTTTTTAGAGTAACATTGTTTATTTGTGTTTAGAAAATAGCTTGCTCGTAAATAAGCGATAGCATACAAAGTGCAAGAATTTGTAAAAATTGATTAAAGTAACTAATCAATTTTTTTTTTTTAATAAATATTAATAGATTCTTTTGGATTTGTTTAACAGCTCAAAATGTTTATTACATTGAAATAAGCACGATGTATTGATACTATATAATGTTAATATACAATTGAACATGCATATGAGAAATATATACATAATATATCATAATTTACGAGTATATGAAATTTATTTATGAAAGACATAAAACGTATTTTACGATTCTTACGATCTTTAAGTTGCATAAAATAAATTGGCATAAATTGCCGGAATAAATTGATTTAGCCGTCAATCTAACACAAGACGATTAGACGTCCACTATTATATCGATAACCATATCTAGGTCATGCAAATTGCAGCGTGCGACTTTTTTTAGATGTTTTTATTCGATAATGCAAAAATTGCATATTTTATAAATAATTGCACAATTACTTTGTGCTATAAATCAAAGTGATATTAAAAAATAAAATCATCTATTGATATTTTATACACTCTTTTTCTAACATTTTTTTAAATAATTGAAACATTTATTTAAAACTGAACTTTTTAATCTAATTTCTTTATTATTACATCAAATATCAAGTACTGTTATATTTTTTAAACATATAATAAGACATAAAACGTAAAACAAATTTTTTATAATAATATTGCTATTGTAAATTACTCTTATTAAATACATATAAATATTATAGTAAAGCGGTGGAAATTTTTTCAATATACTTGATATTTATCAGATCAAGCAACATACATCTTACAACGATAAGCATAGAAGTATGTGGCGCTATCTCGAGACCAATGTCATCAAGTAAGGAACAAATAAAAACTCGTCGCCTTGTCCGGGCATCGGATAATGAACTGATATAGAACAATTAATTTAGAATAGAAACTTGATGCGAACAAAAAGAAAATTTTAATAAATATATGATTTAAATCTCTCTTTATGCAAAAATAGAAAATTACACTTTTAATAATAAATTAGTTTTTTTATTGTATTATCTTAAAAAAAAAAAACTAAATTAAAAAGCATTAAAGTAAAGCTAAATTCATGGCTATATGTGATGTATAATTTTAATTTTATTTTACTTCATTTTTAATTATAATTTACATTTTTATAAATATAAAATTATATAAAATTACTGCCAGAGCTATCATTACTATTGTAAAAATCGCCATATACATATACGATTTCACATTTTTCTGCAAGTTGTCAAAAACTATAATCTGCATAAATTATAATCTCTAATAACTATAATCTGCAATTTAATCGGATTAAAAAATAGTTTTGAAGATCAATAAAAGCTTCGATCCATTGATGTAAGAATATGCTTTTGATAATAAAAATAGCATTAATCTATGTTTAATTTTCGAAATGAACCCTGAGTTCCTTCAAGTTCCATTAGAAGACGGTACCTCTTCGATTCTGGTAAACGAGCCTTCTCGTTCGTACGACTCAGTTTCTCGTCCCGCAGAAACCAATCTCTGTTCTTTTCAATTTTTTCTTGCCACGCAGCTGTATGGCGTGTGTGAAAATAATATTATAAATCAACTACCTAACGTATTAAACTTTCACAATTAATATATTTACTAATTATGATACTATTTTTTATAAGCAATATTTTGTACAAAGCGCGAAAAAAACGCTTTATAGTAGCGAGAAACATTCTAGAAATGAATTAATTATAAATTGATAATAAATAAAAGATTATATTTACCATTTAATTCTTGAAACGTGCCTGCTTTGCCACCCCATTCGTTGGGAAGTATATCTCTATCCATATAAGCGTATAATTCCTCTCCGTCGCCATTATGTATGTGAAACTGCAAATATAAGAATTGTCTCGCGTATCTCCAACTCATTTTTAAATTGTACTTTATCCTGTATACTTATGACTATGTATACATTTTTGGTTTACCTTCTGAATCAGTTTTTCTTTCAAGAGTGGATAAAGTATATTGACAATATTAGTAATGAACGATGGTGCATTAAGAAAGTGAACGCTGGACAATCGGAAAGGCATGCTATCTTGCACTGCCAACATCGCCCGTCTTACGATAGATTGTGTCGGAATAAATTTTGCCAAATGTACCGTGCTACATCCCTAAAAAGATAAATTTTCTTTTAGATAAATTGCGGGAGATTTATATTACTGATGCTAAATACTTGATAATTAAAAATGTGTGTGTGTGCGCGTGTGTAATTATATCCGAAAATGATGAAAGTTAAAGACTGTAAAAGACGTTCCTTGATTCGATCTTTTCATATCTATTTTTCATTTACTAGACTTTGTAAATGAAGCGCCTCGCGCGATTTCATCTGCTTTTGACGTAACGTAACACAGTGGCGTAACTAACAATAAGTGAGAGAGCACTCAATATACTTGGCGCTTAAGTGCAACCTAGCCTTCCATATTCCATCCCCTAGCTCCACATCCAACCCTTCATATGCACTTTCTTCTTAAGTGAACGCTGGACAATCGGAAAGGCATGCTATCTTGCACTGCCAACATCGCCCGTCTTACGATAGATTGTGTCGGAATAAATTTTGCCAAATGTACCGTGCTACATCCCTAAAAAGATAAATTTTCTTTTAGATAAATTGCGGGAGATTTATATTACTGATGCTAAATACTTGATAATTAAAAATGTGTGTGTGTGCGCGTGTGTAATTATATCCGAAAATGATGAAAGTTAAAGACTGTAAAAGACGTTCCTTGATTCGATCTTTTCATATCTATTTTTCATTTACTAGACTTTGTAAATGAAGCGCCTCGCGCGATTTCATCTGCTTTTGACGTAACGTAACACAGTGGCGTAACTAACAATAAGTGAGAGAGCACTCAATATACTTGGCGCTTAAGTGCAACCTAGCCTTCCATATTCCATCCCCTAGCTCCACATCCAACCCTTCATATGCACTTTCTTCTTAAAATATGAACAATATATTGTAAAAAAAGAAAAAAAATGTGATTACCTTATTAAAGAAATAAATGTTTTATTTTTAATGGCTACCACTATGCTAACGAATTTTAAGTTTCAAAACCCAGTAAGTCAAGGAATATTTAGCATACAAATATATGTATATCTGTTGATAACTGTATTTCTGATACGAAAAATTAAGCATAATAAAGAAAAAAAAGTAGAGCAATCCATACCTCAAGATCTATGATCATAATATTGGACAAGCAGGATTCCTCCCATAAACGAGCATCAAGTATCATTAAAATACGTTTGACTATCGCTTGAAACGAGAATTTCTCCACGTTGGTGTCGCGTAACCGGAAGATGCTGACACGATATCCTTCCTCGGTTAACGATGGCAACACGAAGTAGTCTCTAATGAAAATATTTGCTTAAGAACGTATAACACTGTGAGAATTTATTTGAAACTTTTCGATTTGTTCCGCAACCCCAGGGGGGTATTCTAATAATTCTTTCTCAGAAATTATTTGGAATCGCGCGAAAGAATGTAAGATTTATTTACACTACGCCAACGGAGTCTTGAATATCCCGAGACAGCGGATCGCGAACAGTGAAAAATTCCGGCAAGGATGTTCGAACGGTATAATATCTTTCCAGTAATAATTTACATCTCTCGACGTTGTTCTTGCAGTTGTAAAGAAATCGCCCCAGCTTGCCATCGTCTACAATCAATAAAATCGTATGCGTGATTTATATCTTTTTTTGTATAAAATGTCGCACGCTTTTCGCGCGTTAGACATATATTCTTTATCTGATTTCAATATTGTTGTCAAAAACTTTATTTTTCTAATTTTTGATAAACATCAACTTTATTTTTGTCGTAGATCTTATTAGAAAAAAATGCACGATACTCTCAATAACTTGAATATTATATTATTAGAAGGTACTGTTATAAAGAGTACTGTTATCGAAATCACGCATCATACATTCTTTTCGATGATTAGAAAAATTTACGGACAAACACCTATGTGATTTGGCAAGTGCGGTTGCTTAGATAGCCATTCTCGAAGCGCTCTGATATCCTGTTCTCTCATTTCCGGATCAGGTGGGAGCTCCTTGTCCATCCGTTTCTGTTGCGCCGGCGTTGGTGGTAACAACGTCATGATTTTCTGAAACAACAACTAAATCGATATTGTTGTCTAGCCACGATGCGGGGATTGCGGAACTCGGTTAGAGAGTAAATATTCGGTAAGAGAGGAAAAAGTCCGATAATATATATATTGTTACTCTGTTTATTTGTATATATAGTTTTGACATTTATTTTTTTATTCTGCAGCGTGAATTTAAAACTAAACAATTTTGATTTGCTACAGCATTGCAATTTTTTACTTTAAATAAATGTATGTCATTTCTTTCGGCATCAATGTATTTGATGATATAAAAGATTGCATTTAATCTATTGTTTACTTTTGCACTTTTCCTATCAGGATAAGTAAAGATAGCATTAGGTCATATGTCTTCGTTTAGTTTTCTCATTTTAGCGAACAAATATTTAATATCCAATTCCGAATGCCATTTGATGAACGGTACTCATAACGCAAAACTCAAAGAATTTGGAAGAATATGAAAAGAGAGAATATACAAGAAGACGCGCATAATGATAAAAGAAAAAAGAAATATGTAACTACATACTTTTTATCTATTTTTATACCGATATTTATGATTCTCATTTTCGTACTTCCTTGCAGCTTCATATTTCATTTGATTTGTCATAATGTCATAGCGTCATTTGTCATATTGCAGAAAAAAATATATGCACATCCTTTATATTGTCCACATGTTATAGCGTGATTTATTACTGCTGCTAAATATGACCTCATCCGTTCTCGGCGTCACAAACGATGTTTACCTCTTTAAAATATTTGCTTGAGAAACGAAGGTGCGGGAGTAATTGGAAATAACACACAGGCGAGTCAGGAAAAGGAACGCGTACGTGACACGAATTCGATCTCGCAAGCCCGTTCGAATTATTGGCAAATTTTGAACGCATTGTTTTTTTTTGTGAAAGCCGATTGATGGCGTCGAATACCAATTAGTTTACAATCGGCCATTACACTTCTCCATTATTATCATGGAATTGCACAACATTTACAAAGAAGCGGAATGCCG